AGACAGACAGACAGACAGACAGACAGACAGACAGACAGACAGACAGACAGACAGAGTGCGTGTGTATACATACATATATACGTATGTGTGTGTGTGTGTGTTTGTTTGTGAGGTTTTCTGTTTGTGCGTGTGTGCATAATAAGTATGTGTTTTTATGTATTTATATGTGCACCTGATTTTGAGCTTTTGAAATGAATTATTATTTTTGTCTTGGCGCCAAAAGTAATTGATTATAAACAGAGACGAAAACATTAGCAACAGCATTTGCTATTACAAACAAACAATTCCATGTTCATACAACCATGAAACAGACTTTTAATACTATTGGTACTCACGGTTTGATAATTGCTTTAGCTAGCTTGAGTACTGCGTTCACACCTACTATCAACCTCTGGAATCTCTGTCGATGCTGGAAGGGAGAGGAAGACAGAAATTTGTATTTATAAATAAAACGAACGCAAGGTACACGAAAATTATACCCAGAAATGATTTTCCAGATACTGTTTTTTTCTTCCTCTTCAACTTTATTCATTGTGACACCGCTAAAGCTTCGTTGTCTTTTCAAGAAATTTTATTGATTAATATCTTTTCATTTTTATAATATATTGATTTTTTCCGGTTATAGGGTTCATGATTTTTTTGTTTCCTGCTTTCTTCCTTTTTGCGGGGGTGGGGGAGGGAGAGGGGATAAGATATGATTTTGAGTTTTTGTGTAGACAGGAAGACGTTTAAAACACCTTTCGAAGTAAGAGCACCCATTTGTGTGTGTCTTGAGAGGTAATTGTTTTTTCTTCTTCCTCCACAATCTCCGGGGATTTTCCTATGTTGATTCAAATTTCAAAGATTACTCAGGCTCTATGACGAAAATACATGATCACACCGATAAACAGAACAAGTAGAGCATTCACAGTTCAAGACTAGCTGTTTTTTTGCTTCGCACATATCCGTTGTTGTCCGTAAGTTTCGCTACTGGTTGCGGCTTGGCCACAGAAAAAAGGCTTTATGGTTGTTGGGTTTTTTCTTTTCGTAAGTGTTTTACGGCGCTCGCAACTGCATAAGGTCATATAAGCGCGCGGGACACATTAAACTTTTTCAGTTTGTAGGAAGTTTTGAATTTTGCCAGGGTGGCGGCTGAAGCCTACTCTTATCGATTTTAGACCACCAAGGGATCTTTAACGTGCGCAACTTGCACACGGGCCCTCCGACATTTTTCGCCCTTGTCCGAGAAGGCTAGGTGTAGATCTTTCTTACTAGAAGATCAGGGGTGTGGCTGAAAGACAGCAGTAAGGAGAAACCAAGGAGTAGCAGTAGAAAGGCTGTAGAAAGAATCAGGAGCCCATAGGAGGGGGGTAAAGGAGATGAGGGAGTAGGGGCAGAAAGAGGAGACGAAAGCAGACGACAGAACATTGCTAGAGAGCAGGAAAGGAGGTGAAAGGAGACACATTTAGAGAAGAAAAATTTTCGGTCACTACCCGGATTTGAACCCGGGACCTTTGAATGAGAGGCCAACACCTTAACCTCTAGGCGACGAGAGCCCCCCTTTATGGGTTTAGGGAGAGGGGAATATACTTGAGAGCAATCTATTAATTATATGTTGTCCCCGAGAGCCAGAGCTTGTCACTGTCTGTCTGGGAAGTCAGTCAAATGTTCAAAAATGTTTGTCAAAGCATTGAAAGGTGATGAAATAGAGCCTAGTCTGTGAAAACGTGGGCGTTTGTGGGAAGTATAAAACTGTTGGGATATTTTTGGGGGGTAAAAGTCCTAATACATTAATATCAAATACAACTCATTATTCGTGAGCCATCTTTTTTCATACAAGTATTCCTTCCAAAGAATGACATCATAAACACAAACTTATAACAACAAGTGGAAAGATGATACGTAAAATATTTTTAGCGTTGCTTCATTAAAACCAGGTTAACTGACCGATCTGCTACTGTACTCATAATCACCTTGAGCCTCTGGAGAAACCTTTGTCTTTGCAGTACAGCCTTCAGACCAGACGTAGACACAGCGGAAGGGTTTACCTCTAGAACCACATCGTAAATGTTTCTTTTTGGAGGAAACTTGTAGTTGATCCCATCCCTAGGCACTGGAAGTTGAGAATATTCGTTGTTGTCGGCCAAAATTGTCTTTGTGGCTTCGGTGGACTCTTGGGTACAATGTTTGATGGTTGAATTGTCATTTCTATTATCGGCATCATATTCGAAGTCCTTGAAATGTTCATCTGCTACATTTTCAAATTCTCTTTTCGTATCGTGCTCCAGTTCTCCATTAACTTTTCCAGATGATTCCACTTCAACTTCTTCGTATGGGAAACGCATATTCTCCCATCTTTTGAAAAACCGTGCCAACTTTGCAGAGTACTCACTCTCTCCATTTTCATTGAGATCCTCTATCGTATGTTGACTCGATTGAACGCTGTTCCTGGAGGTAATTAGCCGTGGAGATTGTGTTAGTTGTAGTTTAGGGAGTGTCGTGGTCGAGGGCTTCAAGGCATGAGTACTCCCATAATGCACTGGTTCCTTGACTAAATCTGGTTCTAGCGGATATTCATCCAGTTTTGGAAAATGCACATTCATTTTTAAAAGTCTACCCACCAGTCAAAACACTGTCACAGAACAGAAAATGTTGTGCTCTTAGAGTTAGTATTGTCTTTTCATCTGAACCTGAAAGATGAATAATTCGTCAATAGAGATTCCAGCCATCCTTGTGTATATGCTGTTTTAGCCAACACTGTCTTATCCTGAAATGAAGACGTTGTATATGCCGACACCTTATCCTATGACACAGAATATTCCAATCCTAAGTAAACGATTATCACACCTACGATGTACCCAAATCAAACACGATCTATCGATCTCCAGTCCAATAGCGCACCTTTCAAGTGTTGAACAGACGTTAATACTTGTGGACACTCGAATGAAAAGATAACGTGAAACTAGCATTCACAGAATGGGGGTCGGACTAGGTTCATACGATCGCCAATAAAATATATTTTTGCACACATCAAATTTCTGCTTTTCCATGCTACTGAGACCACCAATCTTTTGCATCTGAGGTATTGTTTGTTCTACAATGCCAAACCCAACTCTTGACAGTTGACTGGTTACCTTGCAGATGAACAAACTAACCCCCCGTCCCTCTGCCTATCCACCGCAATTGCACTCCCTGCTCTCACTGAAACTATTTCCTATGTTTGAACTTGTTATCAGTCTAGGGTCGAGGGATTTCTTTCGACACAACTGTAGTCTTTTGTTTTATGACTTTAGTTTTGTGGATTCCAAAAGGGGTCAGTACTTTCGTGGCTACAAGCTCTTCTCCTTGTCGGCAAAAGTCGTGAGTTGGGTTCCCACACGAGGAAGATACAGTCAAACCTGCTCTAAAGGCCACCTGTTAAATACAGCCACCTATACAAACAACCACTCCCCACCTCCTCCCCCCTTCCCGTTTGCGGTTTTTTTCTGTATCATAATGACACAGTACCACACTTTTCTCCTCGACCACGTATAGCCGTCCTTGGACAGTTTCGACTGTATTTCATCGAGTATTAGATCTCTCTGCGGAAATGTACATCGAGCGCTTGGGCCCAAACGTATTAGTGAATGATCAAAGAGTATAATAATAATAATAATAATAATAATAATAATAATAATAATAATAATAATGATAATAATAATAATAATATGGTATCAATGAGAAAGCATATTATTTACAATTAAATATCACTGTCAATCGCCGCTTTGAAAACATTGAATAATTGCAAACCCGGTTACAGATTTCAATGAAACCCCTTCTTTTCCATTGTTACTTTTTCATAATACATGTACTTAATTAAGCTCAAAAGAATTTATGGAATAAATCATGAAATGTCCACCTTTCCCTGACAAATAAGGGGCGACCCATATGAAGTTTGCGATTCCCAGTTCTGGAAGTAATTAGTTCTTGTATTGTAGAGTGGTAGATTAATTCCGAAAAACACTAATAGAAGTAAGATGTTTCCCCCCTTCCCGTGTGCTTTTTCTTAGCTCTGAGTTCACAGCTCTCTGCGGTTCTTGTCTGCAGTATTTTTGAGGTAAAACATGTCACAAAAAGATCCCTAAAATTAAACCATCTCTTTTAATTATTGCTTTGAACCAACCGGCACTTGGAAAAATCTCTCAAGATGGTAATTTCTTGTAGAACATGATACCTTTCCTTCGCTACTTGTAAAGGGATAGAATTAAAGGCTAAGCAACAGTTAAAAATATGGACATTGTGCACTTTAGGTATAAATGGGTAAAAGGGGCGAAGAATTGTTAAATTATAACTTGCTTTAACAGTGCTATTGGATATCTCAAAGGTTACCAAAATACACAGGGTCACTATACGGCACACGATTGTGTAATTATTTACCACCCAGCAATAATTGAACATTCACCTTTTCAGGTATCAGGGGTAAAATTAGCGAGAAAATGGCCGCCAAAGTTTAGTGACTTCTAAAGCTTGAGTGTCCTTGCAGGTTGCAAATTTACCTTTTTGTGCTTTTTATCAATTTTTTTTTCAATAAAATTCACACAGAAACGTGATTTTCAAATGCACGAAAATGATGCCACCCCATATATATATATATACATAAATAAATATAAATGCGGAACAAATTGATCAAAAGGCGGAAAAATTACTGTATTTTCTAGTTCTTTATTTTGTCGAAAGTTTGAATTCACCACGATAAAATGCCCTTTGCGTATATTTCTGTAGAATGCTCCATTCTGTTCTTAAAGCCGTTATTGCATGCGCATCTTCCATATGGACTTGATGATTTAAAGTGTTTTACGCCCCCCATCGACACAATCTCGATCATGAAGGGGACCAATAAGAGCTGATTTGGCCGTGACATCTCAGTAGAAAAACAAAGATATTGGATAAATATTTTCCCCATACGGGAATCAAAGTCCGGACCACAGACGCGTACCATAACTACTTTTAACTTTAACAAGAGGCTGTCAGTAATCAAAATATAGTACCTCAACATAATGACTTTTTGAGAGGGGCAGGACTGTCGCCACTTTAGAATAAAAAGCAAAAAAAATAACCCAACAACAACCAAAAGAACAAAAAACCAAAAAAAAAACCCAACTGCATAAAATGTCTGTAGTTTAGGGCGGGGATCGGGCGCTCCTTGAAGTATAACCTGCGTATCCTTACCAAAAACAACACCCCCCCCCCCCCCGCCTGCCCAATCTAAAGCAAAATCAAAACTCAATTTCAATTTCACGCTCTGTTGATTACTTGAAACGCCTGGGATCAATTCACCTCTGATTTCCGCTGCATAGCTCTAATTCCGGCATCTTTCCATTAGTTTCACAATTCGACAAATTTATTTCTATCGATTATCTATTGATCATTTGATCGCTATCCCATTTGGTC